TTTTGATCAGAAATTTATGGACTACAATTACACCTCATTAAGAAAGCTTTTGGTTGTTCTTAGAGTTTCTCGAAAACTGGTTTTCCAGAATACCGGTCTTTGAAGGCCTAGCGGCAGCATTCATGGTGGTATTCGAAATCAGCATCGTTGACTACCTATAGTCCAGTCGGTTTCGTTGAAAAAGCGATTTATCAGTTGGAGATCATTCCTCGTCAGTCGTAAAGTCGTAATGGATACTAAAGTCGTTACGACTTAACGATTCGGACAGGACTGAAGTCTTGCTAACGTCTTCACTTTGGTATCGGAGTTTAAGCATTTTCACTCTCTTTCTCGCTTTTTGGAATGTGCAGACTGCTTCGCGCAACTGAAACTCACTCTTCCTTTTATCTGATGACCTACGTATTTTCCGAAATTTGAGGAAAAATGGCTAATAATATAACGATTCAAGACATTAAACCGTTATATGAAGATCGATGTCAGAATCTCTTTAGATTATGCAGCGAAGAATGTAAGTTTATTTTCCGTACTATAATCTACGAAAAACAGTACAACTTTGATGAAATTTCGATGCAATTCATTATAGCCAGACATTGACATGCAGTTACTGTGGAAAAATACGTCAAATATCACGTGTCACATGTTGTCAATTGTGTTCAAAAGAATGCCACAGTCGAATTTGATTTATTTTATGTAATTGTTCACTGTATAATATCTGCAAGCAGTCATATTCGTTAACGGCAATCAAAAATAGATTCTGGACGAAACTCACAGCTGTCTGATTCTACAGTTTGATAGTCACAGTCCTACGAGTAATAGGTGTCAAGCATAGCACGCTATGTGAGATCACCAAGAACACTGTCATATATTCCGATTAGAGAAACAGCTCTCGTCATCTAATCATCACCATGTTCCACCATAAAAAACTGTCTTTTCCGTCGTGTTTTTTATTTTTCGTTTCTGTTATTGGCATAAAGCCTTACTCAGTTGTTTGTACTTTTCGTTTTCTACTTCGTTTCTACTCTAATGGATGGTATATGAAAACTCAGTCATCATAGCAACTTGTAAGATGTGGAATCAGCTTTCTCTTAAACATCGCTTGATAACAAATTATACTCGATTTAGACTACGATTGATGAAATTTAAAAAACTGAAGTATATGGTACAAGTAGACAATTGTAGTGGGTTCTTGTGTTGTGTTCTGAAAAAAAACAAAGTCACATTTTGCCATCAGCTGTAAACAAAATAATCCTTTCTACTAGATAAACTTATATCTTCATGCAGGTGTGCTAATAGTTTCATCCAATATCGTTTTGTTAGCAGTATAACTGACGTTCTTTTCTAAAAGCTTTTAGGAACAGGGGAGGGATCTTCTATTTCAACTTTTATGACGAGATCGATGGGGATCTTCTATTTATGGAAGGCCTTCTAATATCCCCTTTACGCACAAGGCCAATTTGAGTGGAAGAGAAAGTGAGTCTTTTGAAAAGAAAAGAATTGTTCACTCATACAGTGAAATTTAATTTCTTCTCAAAACGATGTTGAATCACGACCCACTTTAGGAAATTTAACAAATTTCTCCAGTTTATCTTGTGGGGTTGTTGATTGTAATGCTGACGAATTTGACTTACCAAAGCCAGTGAATATCGTTGACATACCAGTCATTTTTAGGAATGAATATAATTTACTATCTTTGTCACCTTTCGATGTTGTTGTACTTGATGAAGCTTGTGTTGAATGATCAGGATTTGTTGATGGTAAGTTCGTTTGTTTTCCTTGTTCTATAACCAGATCTTTCGCATGCACTTTGTCTTCTGTTGTTAGACTCGCATGGGTCCTTGGATCCAAATATGCTGATATCTATTTGAGGAGAAATTAAAAAATTATGCATTATGTTAGTTTTCGCCATACATTAATTAGTGCAGCAGAAATATTTGACTGGAACGTGGATCTCTTTACTACCGCATTAAGTTGAAGTCCTGTGAGCGTGACACGACTCTGCCGTGAATGGGCTTTCCGGCGAAGCGGCTTTTCCGCGAACTGTAATGTGGTGGCAGTAAGCAGCTTGAGAGTGAGTGTGAGAAGAACTTCATTCGCGATAGGGTGAATTCGCGGAAAAGTCGGTGTACCTTCTATGAGTGCAGAGCATCAATATAACGACTAAATTTATTAAACGATCTATTGACAAAACTGAAGGATAGTTTCAAACGTGTCATTACGGAAACGCAGTAAGCTAAGAATATGTCCGTCAAAGCCCAGTATTGCTCTTTTAAAGCATAATGTATAAGGATTTTGTTGGTACGCAGAGTGAGAGATATCTCTAAAAAATATTTTGCTTACCAATACTGCTTCTGATTGGTGTGGATTTATATTTTGTTCAAAATAATACTCAAATTGTTCTAAAACTGAATTTTTTATTTGATCTTCTAAAGTGTCATTCGTCGTAGTTGCCGTTAAGAAATGTTTCAAGGATCAGAGAACAATATAAGCTAATGATAAAGTGGGACAGTGGTGACCAGATAATAACTTAGTAGCTGCAAAAAATGGTTCAAGACTTTTTTGCTCAGCTTCAGTTTACGGTTGTTATTTTCTGGACTTCGACTTCTTTTTTTCGATTTCTGGTGAACGTACTTTCCATGATCGTGTTTTTCGCTAGTGGAAAAAATATCCTTTCTCAGTGTGGTCTTATCCTGATTCAGCGACTGTTCTCGAGATGTACCATATGAACGAGTCTATGGCTGTGCCTGAGTCTCATAGCAAGTGTCCGAAATAGACATCTTGAGCTATTAGTGTTACTGTTGGTTTAACACTAACTGATAAGTTGGTTACCGTTATTTTAACGGTAACTGTACTTCCAGTTAGCATTAAATCAACGTAACGGCATCTTTTACAGTCCTAATTTGAACGTAAAGAATGTGACTTTCTCTTGTTCTGATAATGACAAGAGGGCAAACTTAATAAACGAAGAATTATATCTTCTTACTTTGAATAAAAAGTCTTTTTTAACTTATAGATAAGGAACGAAAAAAACCAACAGCTCATTTTTTGTTTGTTTCTTTCGTCCGTTCTGACTGTTGGATAATGATTATACAAAAAGAGAAATTTTGAAGGTGTACGCATAAAAACAGGCGTAAGAATTATGAAATAAACTTTAGAGAAGAATAAGAATCGAAGCAATACCATGACCGGTCCTTGCTTAAGGGGCTCATCAGGTGACTTACGGACATTTTAATCCTAAATAACCAATAGATTGTTTAACATCTCTCTTGATGCATGTATTTGATGAAATAAATTTCAGTTCAGTTCAGTTCAGATGACTTTTTCTTGACGAGGAGCGGATGTAAAGACTTGTTGCTTCGTGTTTCTATCTGCAGTCGACCAGTATTCATACAAGAACCGTTGTATATGTAGTACTTTTTCCCATAACCCACGTAGTTCCCGTTTGAATTCCAACATGGGACCACTCTCGAAAGTAAAATGAACTATAATTTCCTGCTTGTTCGCTTGTTGTCTGTCTGACATTGTTCTTTGTCCTGTTTTTTCTCTCGTCTGTTTCGAGTTTCTCAATTTCCAGTTTTTCGTCTCTGGTTTAGAAAACATGAATAATTCTCAGCAACGAAACAAAATTTAAAAAGAATCTCCCCAAACTTTTAAAGCTGGCGTTTTCTAATGACGACGAAAGTACATTCTCACATCTTTTATATGGCTCTATTGTCTTTTCAGAACCTAGCACACTAGCAGGATATTTGCTTCCATATTGT